TGGGATTAAAGGTGTGCGCCGCCACCACCCGGCTAATTTAGGATTTTTATTATTGTGATAAAATACCACAACCCAAAGCAACTGACTTGCGGAGAAAAAGGTTTATTTCATCTTCCAGCTTGAAGCCCATTATTCAGGGAAGTCAGGGTAGGAACCCAGCCAGGCTCCTGGAGTCAGGAACTGACACAGGCCATGGAAGAAGATGCTTATGGGCTTGCTCCTGCTTCAGCTGGAGGGCCATGGTGTGTTTTGGGGTCTCTTGAATCAGTGAGAATAAGTCCCGACTGAAGAGTCCAAGAATAAGAAAATAAAAATGTAGATTCCAGAAATGAGAATGTAGAAATAAAGAAATATAAAGCTGTAAGTCTAGGAGAACGAGAACAGACTGTCAGCAGCTTTCTCAGCAGATCAAGGATCAGTCATTCACAGTGAGCTATTTTCTCAAACCCTTAAGAAGCCTCTATCAGCCTAGGTCATTTCATTTTACAACTGGCTGTTCTATTTACAAGGCCGGAGCTTCGCTCTGCAAATTGAGAGTAGTGTCCTGGCCATCCTTGATAAACGACAGATGTGAACTGAGTTAACCTTTAGGAGACAGAGATACGTGACCTCTGGGTTAGGCACTGTCTCTGTTATGGGAAACTGGCACCATCAAAGGGGAGGCATGGGGTTCCAGTATGCACTGCCTGGAGGTGCCAGGAGAGACAGTGCACAAGGTACAAACACCGTCTGATGAATGAACTCTGATAATGGAGGTTGTAAAGTATGGCAGTCTGTATCTGAGTTTTACCTTGAGATAGTGTGAAGAACTTTCTTCTATCCCAGCCTAAGAACCAATTAAATCTAATTTATTAATCTTCTGGTATTACTAGCAGTCCTTTTTCTGACTAATGGCTAAAGACATCTGTTTTCTTGCAATTAGCAACTTTCACTTAATCTAATTTGTGGCCACTGATGTTAAAACCAACCACAAGAATCTGCAGGAACCACACGGAAGAACGAGAGAACTCATTTCCCACAAGTTGCCCTCTGGCCTGTCCTCACACATACAAACACAAACCGAATGAAATGAATGTAAGTTTTTAATGAAAAAGGTCCACACAGACTCCCCCATTTCCTATGAGCTAGGAGGGAGGGCCAAATTATGGCTGTGGGAAGAAAAAGGGACATTCCAATGTCTCCCGGGAGATGACATCAAAAAGCCATTTTTTTTTCAGATGGATGGGACAAATGACAATCAAGGTTCCTTTTGAAATGCCCCATGTGTAAATCAGAGTAGAGGAAAATCCTATTAGGTAAGAGGCAGTGTGGCTTAAGGGAGCTGGTTTTTTTAATCTAATTGATATCTTAGGCCAGTGAGATGGCTCAGCAGGTAAAGGTGATGTCATGCCTGATGACCGGAGTTCTGTTGTAGGAAACCTAAATGCTGGACAGAAAGAAAACAGACTCCTGAAAGTTGCCGCATGAGTCCATGCCATAGGCAGGCCCGTCTCATATATAAATAAATTAATTAAAAAGATACTGACCTTACTCAGAGTGCCACCTCCCCACTAAATGGACGTGTGGTCAGGAGCCTGCTGCTGAAACTCTAGCCTGTGGGTGTGAACGTCCTTGTTTGGAAATAAGGAGGTAGCTTTATCTCCCAGGTTACAGAGAGGATTAAGTTGAAAATGTGTTTAAGAAGCTAGCTGGGCCGTGGTGGCGCATGCCTTTAATCCCAGCACTCGGGAGGCAGAGGCAGGCGGATCTCTGTGAGTTCGAGGCCAGCCTGGTCTACAAGAGCTAGTTCCAGGACAGGCTCCAAAGCTACAGAGAAACCCTGTCTCGACAAACAAACAAACAAACAAACAAGAAAAACCCTGTGCTGCTGCTTGACTTTTGTCCACTTGACAGCAGCTAGAATCATCTGGGAAGAAGGAACTCCTATGGAGGACTTGCCTCTATCAGATGGGCGTGGGCAGTGCCACCTCTGCTTAAGTGGTCCTGTGTTGTGTATGATAAGACTCTCTGAGCAAGCCAGGAACCAGCACTCCTCTATGGTCTCTCTTGTCCTGGCTTCCTGCGGTGAGCCACAAGCATTAGACAGGAAAAGTATGGCTGAGAGATCAATACGCACACCCACAGAAGCATATTCTGGTGGAGATTTGCAAAGCTTTGGGGACATCTGTCTTTTGAATGGACACTGTCATTTCTGTACAAATCTTGTGAAGACATAGCCTTCCTCCTTTTCATAGTGGGATTCATCCTGAAATTTCCCAGCAGGGCGTACATCATCGAGCAATAACTTCTTTCTGAACTGGCAGCTGGATGACCTTTCCCCACACTGTGGGGCCCTGGTGTGTAGGTATTCACTCAGTCAAAGAAACCTTTCTTCTTATAGTCAGATCTACATAAAACTAGTCTCTCATAATTCTCCCTACTGACAGGACTTCCGGCAAGAAAAGAAGCCCTGAATAGGAGAGACAGCATGTCTGCTCTTTCTGATAAACAGGTCTGGAGGCCCTAAATTCTCCTGTGCCTTTAACCATAAAAAATACCAGGAAAAAAGCTTAGCTCGCTAAACCAGCCCCAGAGAAAGAAATTCCTTCTTACCTGGGTGCCAGCAGATACAGCACCCCCATAGCACCCTGCTGGCCCCGGGGACCAAGCACCATCTGCTTTCCTTCCACAGCTTATGCTGGTTGCCACGGTACCACAAACGCTAGGTTCCCAGCCGCTGCTGCAAGTGCTTAGAGAACACACAGCACTGTATCCTTCTTCCCTTCTTCTCTACATTTACCAATTACAAACTCTAGTTTAACTAACCACACAAATGTAGATAACACACAAACTCTCTCTTAGCAACCATAGCCCTTTATTTACCCCTTCTCAGATATGCCCGTGAGCCACACCCCCTCTGAGACAATAGTAAGTGGAGCCTGCTCTATCAGTCTTAATCCATCTTGTTAGCACTAAGAAATGCATGTTTGGTATCACTGCTATTGTTAATTACGTCTGTATGGATATATAAACTGGAAACCTTGTGGGACTGGAAGGAACATCGAGGAGGGAGATGATCAGAACATCGGAAGAGCATTGAGGAGAACGTAGGAGGAATAAACAGGACACGATGCAAAGATTTATGTGAGCTAATTTATTTACCTTCAGGTATCCTCAGCCAGTTTTCCCCTGCTGTAGCGGGCCTTCTGAATCCCTCAGAGATGGACTGTGTCCTGTTAACCCAAACAAACCCTTTTCTCCACAAGTTGCTTTTGGTCATGGTGTTTATTACAGCAGCAGAGAAGTGAGCTAGGGCAGTGGTCCGTAGGGTGTTGAGGAAGTTAACAAAAACATGGGTGTTGAAGAAATTGATGAAAATGTAATATTAGAAGATATCTAAGGCTTAGGGTGGGGTGGATGCCTATAATCCCTCCATGTCTGAGGCATGAAGACTGCCGAGAATTTATGGCTAGCCTGGGAAAGACCATCTATCTGTCTATCTATTCATCCCTCCCTCCCTCCCTTCCTTCCTCCCTCCCTCCCTCCGTCCATCCCCTCCCTCCCTCCCCTCCCTCCCTCCATCCCTCCCCTCCCTCCCTCCCTCCCTCCATCCATCCATCTACGTGCGTGCACATTTGGCTCTGGGTCAATTGCGTTTAAAGTGCACGTGATTCCATGAAATAGGCTTTTTTAGGTACGAAGGACTGGCAAATAAAGCAGCTTGAACATGCTGTTCTTCGGGATACGTGAGGGAACTTCACTTGAGAAAATGCTCCTGTAAGATCTTGCTGTATAACATTTTTCTTCCTTCCTCTCTTTCTTCTTCCTTCCATTCTTTCTTTCTTCTTACTAGACAGAGTGTCTCTGTGTAGCCCTGACTGTCCTGGAACTTGCATTGTAGACCAGGCTGGCCTCAAACCTAAAGATCCACCTGCCTCTGCTGTGCTGAGATTAAAGGAGTGCACTACCAACACCTGACTGAAAGGCGTTTGTTAATTAGTGATTGATGGGGAAGGACCCAGCCCATTGTGGGTGGGGCCATCCATGGACTGTTGGTTCTGGATTCTCTAAGAAAGCAGGTTGAGCAAGCCAGTACATAGCACTCCTCCATGGCCTCTGCATCAGTTTCTGCCTCCGGGGTCCTGCACTGCTTGAGTTCCTGTCCTGAGTTCCTTAGATGTGGAAGCATAAGCCGAGTAAACCCCTTTCTCCCCAAATCGCTTTAGTCATAGTGTTTCATCACAGCAGTAGAAAGAAACCCTTTCTAAGACACTCAGCCTACATATCTAGTGCATGGCCAACCAACAAATAAGCGAAAAGGCAAAACCAAACAAGACATGAAAGTAGAAAGGGGTACTGGAGAAAGACTCAGCTGTGTTCCCCACACCAGTCACATGGTGGCTTATACTTATCAGTATGTCTAGCTCCTGGGGATACTGCACGAACGCAGAGTAAAGTATTCCAGACAGAACTCACAACATTTTCTCACTGAGATTTCTCCTTTAAGACAGATGGCTGACACAAGAGAACACAGATGCAAGAAGACAACTATTTGACTATGGCACTACATAAAGGCTTAAGCTTTAGAATCTAATTTTGAACCTTAAAGCCAGGGGAGAGCGCGAACGCAGTCCCCCACTACCACAAATTATGCAGTCGAGTTTCCCGCATTTGGGGAAATCGCAGGGGTCAGCACATCCGGAGTGCAATGGATAAGCCTCGCCCTGGGAAAACCACCTTCGTGATCATGGTATCTCCCCTGCCAGGTAAGTATGAGTTGCTCTGGCCGAGCGCACGCCCTCCCTCATCACGCACACCTTTTCAACACACGGTGATCGTCCTCGCGCAACCGCCTCACCTTCATGACATAGAGACCGCTGGATGTGCTCCTTATTCCTATGGAAATCACACTCACGACACCGAATTATTCAATACACGGAACGCGGACTTTCGAGTCCTGCGGGACCGGCAGCCCCTGCGCTCGTACTCATCTGCATACGCCCCGCCCCACTCTTTTTTTTTTTTTTTGGCCGGTCGACAGCACCGCGGACCGGATATCCCCCCATGCTGGGCTCTTCTCCGGAGAGAGCCTGTGATGGCCCTAAACTTCTGATCTTGGGTGTGTGACATCATCCACTACTGGGGATTCCTGTTATCTTAAATTACCTCTAGGTTCTGATCAACCTGTCTACTTAGAGTGGAAAACATCAGAAGGGGCATATTTAATCAAAACAATAATATATGCCCACCAAGTAGTCTCAGGAGCTCGGTAATGTTGTTGTCTAGATGAACTAACACATAAGGCAGAATAGCAGGCATCAGAAAAGGGGGAAATGCTTGGGTTAAAGGTTTTGAATTCTAGACTAGTTTCAGCCCCTTGTAAGTCCTCTAACGTTAGTTTAGGCTCCCGCCAGTCACAGTGAGTTTTGTCAGTCAATGGGCTGACAGTCTGGCTAGTTCCTATCCTGTGTGGTCCAGGGGTTGGGTGTCTAACCCATCAATCCTGACTGATTTCTGTCTGAGAATGATGAACTCTATTCTGTGGGGTAGAATCTGATTCCCTGGGTTTTTCCTGTTCCCCAAAGGCCAGAATCTTTTAAAGGAATTTTTTAGAAAGTCTCAGTTTGACAGTCTCAATTTTTATAATGGAGATTCCTTTATTTCTGGCAACTAGGAAGTTCAGCTGTAGGGTGTGTGTGCATAGAATTGTAAATTTTGTATTTTTAGTTCAAAAGATACATATGTCTTTTCTTTTTCCTTTTAGATAACCAACCGGACACTTAAAGTGGGCGTCAGTAAGTAAAGGTCAAGCTGGAATATGGGTTGCTAGGCTGTAGTCGTACTAGCTAATATCTTCTCTTGTATCTCTGAGCAAAACACAAAATTCAGGAAGTGGTAGAGGGAAGTGGTAGAGGGCCACGTAGTGGGAGGATCTGGGGCCCAGTGAAACCTCAGTTTCAATAGGGCCATAGTCCAGGAGACTGCTTTTGTTCTTTTACTCTTTTGGGCGGGGCGGGGGGGGGTCTGCCACCAAGTTCCTAAATAAATCACACACCTAAACTTCTTATTATTTATGAATGTCTACCCTTAGCTTGATCTTTTGCTAGCCAACTTTTCTTATCTTAGATGATTCCAAATAAGCCAAATAGGAAGCCTCTGGGATTTTTTTTTCTATATAGCTTTCTTTACTTCTTTATTTCTTTCTCCATGGCTTGCTGTGTAGCTGGAGAGCTAGTCACCAATGCCCTCCTCTCCTTGTTTTCTTGCTCCTTTTTCTTTTCTTTTTCTTTTTTTTTAAAGATTTATTTATTTATTATGTATACAGTATTCTCAGTACTCTGCCTGCAGGCCAGAAGAGGGCACCAGACCTCATTACAGATGGTTGTGAGCCACCATGTGGTTGCTGGGAATTGAACATAGGACCTTTGGAAGAGCAGGTGGTGCTCTTAACCACTGAGCCATCTCTCCAGCCCCCTCCTTTTTCTTTTCTTACAAATTTCTCCTCCTATTTATTCTCCCTGCCTTCCAATCTCACCTATCCTTTCTCATGCCTTGTTACTGACTGCTCAGCTCTTTATTAGACCAATGAGGTGTTTTAGACAGGTAAAGAGTCACAGCTTCACAGAGTTAAACAAATGCAACATAAAAGAATGCACCACGTCTTTGCATCATTAAACAAATGTTCCACAGCATGAACAAATGTAGCACATTTTAATATAACAGTTCATTTGGCAGTGTCTGTGGTTTGTTTTCTTGACCTGGGTGTGATGGATCCACGATGTAATGCCATCTCCCGTCACAGCCATAGCAGTGGACTGTCACAGCCATAGCAGTGGAGAATCGCTATGTAGGTCCTTTCCAAGTTGGCTCCAGGGCGTCTCTGACTGACTACCTGTTGACCCAGGCAGTATCACCAGACTTCAAAAAGCTGAAGCTGGTGGTAGTTTGGTGGTAGTTTTGGAGGCCGGCTGAGTCTCTTGGATGGTCCAGTGACTAACCTGTAGAGAAAGGAATGACTTGAGAGTTCCTGCCAACTGCTGCTCTCTGTGCCTGGGCAGCAGTGGGGGAGGTCCTCCAGACCTAATCTCATTAGGGATAAATACCTCCTTATATGAAGCAAAGCAAAGGAAGGAGACCTATCCATTCTTTGTTTGTTTGTTTGCTTGTTTTTGTTTTCTTGGTTTTTTGTTTGTTTGTTTGTTTGTTTGTTTTTGAGACAAGGTTTCTCTGTAGCTTTGGTGCCTGTCCTGGAACTAGTTCTTGTAGGCCAGGCTGACCTCGAACTCACAGAGGATTAAAGGTGTGTGCCACCATCACCTGGCTCTTTGCTGAACTCTAATGAGAGTTTTGTTAGAGTTTTTGTTTGTTTTGTTGTTGTTGTTGTTATTTATTTGTCTATTATGTATGCAATATTCTGTCTGTGTGTCTACCTGCAGGCCAGAAGAGGGCCCCAGACCCCATTACAGATGGTTGTGAGCCACCATGTGGTTGCTGGGAACTGAACTCAGGACCTTTGGAAGAGCAGGCAATGCTCTTAACCTCTGAGCCATCTCTCCAGCCCCTTGTTGTTGTTGTTGTTTAAAATGCCTTGGTTATTCTTTTTTTACCTGACCAGAACTCTGGGGTCTATATGTATAATGACATTTCAATCTATGTCTAAAGCTTTAGCTATTAATTGAAGGTTTTGGCTGTGAAAGCCAGGCCTTTGTTGGACCCCATTGCTAGGGGGATGTCAAATCAGGGGACTAGTTCCTGGAGGAGCTTTTTAGCTACTACTTGAGCAGTTTCAGTTCAGGTGGAGAATGTTCTACCCACCCAGAAAAGCTATCTGTAAAAACAGCAGGTATGTTAGCCTCCCCCAGCAGGCAGGGTCTCTGTGACCCCAGCAGGCAGGGTCTCTGTGACCCCAGCAGGCAGGGTCTCTGTGAAGTCAGTTGTCCCCAAGTTTGCTGGGGTCTTGTTTTCTTATTCTGGGTAAGGCTCTCTGTTTTGGATTCACTTGAGCACAAACCTGAACATCTAGCCAAGACATCCCGCATTAGACTTTCCAGCCTAGGTCTACCATAGCTTGGTGTCAGCAACTCCGAAAGTTTTGTGGACCCCAGACGAGTAGCCTGGTGAAGGTCAGTACTAGAGTCCTGCCTGTTGTTTCTGGGGAAATGACCTTCCTCTTGGTGTGGGTTTACTCTCAACCTGTGGGTTTGAGCTTTCCTTTCTTCTTTACTATGGAGTCTCAGGCCGCTCTGGGTCGCGGTATGTCGTCAGAGTATCGATAGTCCCCACTGGTCTTTGGGCCATTTGTTGGGCAGCCAGGTCAGCAGCACAGCAGGGGAGGACAGCGATTTGTAGGGGAAGCCAAGTAGTCTCTAGGACTCTAGGAGGGACACAATTTTTTTTCTTTTAAAATATTTATTTACTTATTATGTATGCAATATTCTGTCTGTGTGTATGTCTGCAGGTCAGAAGAGGACACCAGACCTCCTTATGGATGGTTGTGAACCACTGTGTGGTTGCCGGGAATTGAACTCAGGACCTTTGGAGGAGCAGGCAATGCTCTTAACCACTGAGCCATCTCTCCAGCCCAGTACACAATTTCTTAATGTCCTTTTCCTCATGCAGTGAGAAGCCCTCTTTTTCTGTAGATCATATCATGAACGTGCCTGATAGCAACCCCCTGCACAGCCCGCGGGCGATTTTTCTACTTTTTTTCCAGAGAATGGCGGGTTTTATGGATCATAGGTTGAAAAGGAGATACAAATCAGGAAAGAGAAAGGAGTGGAACTTCCTCTTTCCTTTTGGGCTCAGTCCAGGGGAACTTTTCTGCTTCCCTGGGGCTGCAGGCATGATGGGGGATGGGGATGCTCACAGGGTGGGTGGGGGGACACTGTGTGTATTCTGCTTAGAAGATGGGGGAGGGGAGGGAGAGCCTGGATAAGAGGGCTGGCCTCTCCCCACCTCCACGCAGGGACCAAGCCTGACCCCAAGTCAGACAACAAAGCGGTCAAGAGCTTCTGCTCCTGGAATGGGACTGGGGAAGGACTTTGGGTCACCTGGCAGAGCCAAAAGGATTCAGGTCCCCAACAGGAGAGGGCACTGGACTGTGGGGGAGAGTCTCACAGGAGAGAAAGCCATTGGTCAGTCAGAGAAATAAAACTGACAGAAACACACACACACACACACACACACACACACACACACACACACTCATACACCCCATAAACAGAGAGAGGGATCCAGTGACATCTAACATGGATCCTGGACACTGGATCAGCAGCTACATCTGACCTCTCCTCTGGGTCCGAACAGAAGGTATCTTAGCCAGACTTAACCTAGGGAGGTGATAGAATGGTGAACAACTTTCTAACTTGGTTTCTTTCGGGGTGGAGGTGTCTGAATCGTTAGCCAGCGATTAATCAGAGGGAGCCTTAGGGTCCGGAACCTCTCTGGCTGCTCATGCTCTGGGAGTCCCCTGCTCACCACACTCTTCCTTGCTCCGAGGAACTCTGAGAGCCCTAGTGTCTCAAGCCGGTGTCTGGGATCTCCAGAAATGTGGTGGGGTATTCACCAGAGGAGACTGCTCGGACATTGGTTTAAGTCGATAGAAACTTATTATCCAGCCAGTAACTACACTGGGTGCTCAGGATCTCAGGGCAGCCCTGAGCCTTTGTCAGGGTGAGCTTTTAAGCACAGACACTGTGTTCTGGGTTGACTTATGTTAGTTGACAAGAACAGTCAGCCAGAAGCCAAACCACAGAAGCCAAAAAGCAAGGTTAGTACATCTAGAGACTTTCCCATAACATGGACTTTGATGGATTAGGTCTTTGTTTTCATTTTTGGCAGATGGTGCTGTCTATATGCTGAATTTCCCATTTGTAGGTTGGTAATTGCAAGAGTGGCAGCCTTGTTTAGTTGTTCTGGGATTACATGGGATCATCTGTGTAAGTTACTTAGCATGGTGTCGGGTACTTGGCAAACCCAACACTTGCTCACAGATGGAGCTAACTAAGTAAAAAGGTATAAAGCATGTCTCTAAACACTACCAGGGGCAATCTCCCAAGTTAATTATGAAGTTAAATAACAAAGAGCCAGGCAGTGGTGGCACATGCCTTTAATCCCAGCACTCGGGAGGCAGAGACAGGTGGATCTGAGTTTGAGGGTAGCCCGTCTTCTTTCCTTCCTTCCTTCCTTCCTTCCTTCCTTCCTTCCTTCCTTTTTTTAAAAATTTTTATGATTTATTTATCTTTTATTTTATGTGCATTGGTATGAAAGTGTCAGATCCCCTGGAACTGGATTTTCAGACAGTTGTGAGCTGCCATGTGGGTGCTGGGAATTGAACCTGGGTCCTCTGGAAGAGCAGTCAGTGCTCTTAACCGCTGAGCCATTTCTCCAGCCCGTCTTTCTTTCTTTCTTTCTTTCTTTCTTTCTTTCTTTCTTTCTCTCTTTCTCTCTTTCTCTCTTTCTCTCTTTCTCTCTCTCTCTCTCTCTTTCTTTCTTTCTTTCTTTCTTTCTTTCTTTCTTTCTTGAGACAGGGTTTCTCTGTAGCTTTGGAGCCTGTCTTGGAACTAGCTGGTAGACCATATTGGCCTTGAACTCACAGAGATCCACCCGCCTCTGCCTCCCAAGTGCTGGGAATAAAGGCATGTGCCACCACCACCTGGCCAATGGTAGGTTTTCTTCTGAGCATTATATTTGTGATATTCTTGTCCCTATTGAAGAGTCCAAGAATAAGAAAAAAAAATGTAGATTCCAGAAATAGGAATGTAGAAATAAAGAAATATAAAATTGTAAGCCCAGGAGAACGAGAACAGACTGTCAGCAGCTTTCTCAGCAGCTTGAGGATTAACTATTAACAGCGGGTTACTCCGCTTTACAACCCATAGCTCTAGTCACAAGGCCAAAGCATCTCTCTGCAAACTGAGAGCTAGCCTACGGATATGAGCCGAGTCAACTTTTAGGAAATAGATATATGTCCTCTGGGTTACGCATTATCCCTTCTATGTGAAACTGGCAGCATCAAAGCGGGAGAGCACAGGGCTTCAGTAAACACCACCTGGAAGGACCAGGGAAGACAATAGGTTAAGTTCAAACACTAATTTAACTAAAAAACTCTGTTAATGGAGACTGTAAAATAAGGCAATCTGAATCTAAGTTTTACCTCGAGATTATAAAAATTCCTTTGTTCAGACCTAATGCCTTGTGCCCCTAGTATAAGATGTGTTCAGAAGCCGGCCTCTGCCACATGCCTAACAAAATCCATCTCTGGCTGTGGTCTCAGCTAGCTGATAAGCTTTTTGTGCCCCACGGAGATATTTTATTTTATTTTTTTATTTTATCCTGGATTCTGGTTTCTGGAATAAAGTTTGTTTCTGGTTTATTAGACTTTGGTGATCTGTCCCCACCTTTGTGTGACCCCCCCTCCCCATCGCTGGACCCAACACTATTCTAATTATTAAGTTATTTAACCTATATTCTACCACATTTTTAAACTTAATTGTGATTTTAAGAAGGAAAATAGCTGGAGCAGTGGTAGTGCACAAATCCCAGCACTTGGGAGGCAGAGGCAGGTGATTTGTGAGTTTGAGACCAGCCTGGTCTACAGAGCAAGTTCCAGGATAGCCAGGGCAGCCTGTCTTGAACATCCCCCTCCCCCTCAAAAAGGGTGGTTATGGTTAGCATTAAAAAATAACATAGAAAAAAAAGATCATTTGAAGAAACAATTATAACTTTGCTAGCAGAATTGTCATTTTGTGTTTGTTAGCTGTTTGCTATGGTATGATAACTCAATGCAATATGTAACCTTATAATTCTGCCATTCCCAAAGCAATAAAAACTAGATTTCTGAGGTTACCCATGTTTGGATTTCAGTTGGGTTGAATTTGTCTTGCCTGCAGAAGTTCATAGTTCAATCCCAGAACCACGTATAAATCATGCATGACGACAAACATCTGTAATCCTGGCACTCGGGAGGTGGAGGAGGGAGACTCAGGAGTTCAGGGCCATCCTGGGCTACAAAATATACTGTCAACAAAAATGAAAGAAGAAAGAGAAAGAAAAGGAAGAAAAAAAAACTAGCCTAAAGCCATAACCACCCTAACCTCCAGATCATGGCCTGAAATGGCCATTTTCCACCAAAGGGAACCAGGATTCTTTGGAGGCATCACTGCATCTAGATCTTGGGAAGGACACATATGAGCTGGAGAAATTTTGTTTAACCGGAGTATGGAAGTTTGCAAAGATGACTGGGGCCATCCAAAAAAGACTTGGAGTCAACAGGAGACTCTTCCTTGGGGCTGAGGAGATATTTAGCTCAATAAAGCACCTGCCATGCAAGCAGGACAGCCCAAGTTGGGATCCCCAGAACCCACGGAAAAAAAAGCAGAGTGTGGCGGTGCATGCCTGTGATCTCATCCCAGGGAAAACAGAGACAGGCAGATCCGCAGAGTGTGGCGGTGCATGCCCATGGTCTCATGCCAGGGAAAAAGAGACAGGCAGATCCGCAGAACCCCCGGCCAACCAACTGAGTCAATAGATGAGCTTCAGGTTCAGTAAGAGACTTTGTCTCAAAAAATAAAGTGGAAACTGGTGGGTGGTGGTGCACTCCTTTAACCCCAGCACTGGGGTGGCAGAGGCAGGTGATCTATGTGAGTTCAAGGTCAGCCTGGTCTACAGAGGGAGTTCCAGGACACCAAGACTACACAGAGAAACCCTGTCCCCAAAAAACAAACCAAAGTGAAATGAAACAACAATAACAACAACAACAAAAGAGGCGTGCCATAGAGGAAGACCTCCATGACCCCTGTGGCCTCTCTGTGTACACATGCACACACGGGTATGTGCCTGCATTCATGAGTACACCATGTGCCTCCGCTGTCCAAAATAGGATGACTTTAGTATCAATAAGGGCAAAACCTGAAAGAAAATAAATTATCAAGTATATTTAAAACTAAAGGTTAATAATATTCCTAAAAAAATAATAAATTGTCCTGGCTAGTTTTATGTCAACTTCACACATGCTACAGTCACCTTTTTTTAATATTTATTTATTTATTATGTATACAATATTCTGTCTGCGTGTGTGCCTTCAGGTCAGAAGAGGGCACCAGACCTCATTACAGACGGTTGTGAGCCACCATGTGGTTGCTGGGAATTGAATTCAGGACCTTTGGAAGAGCAGGCAATGCCCTTAACCGCTGAGCCATTTCTCCAGCCCCCTGCTTGAGTTCTTGTCCTGACTGCTTTCAGTGATGGACTATGGATATGTGAGTCAAATAAACCCTTTCCTCCTCAGCTTGCTTTGGTGTCTCGTCACAGCAGGAGTGATCCTGACTGGGACAAATGTATTGTTACCGTTTAAAGGGTGCTGAGAAACCAAGCCTTACTTAGGACACTGGTAGATAAAGATTTAAGCATTTATCCTGGCTGGGTATTGTGTTTTGATCACCCCACTTCCTCCTCCCACCCCCGTTTTAAGATAGGTTCAGGGGACTAGAGAGATGGT